GTGAAAATTTCATGTTATTAGCACCTCTAGTAATATATTTACTGAGAAAAATGGTGACGTGTTCAATACTTATTTTACCCGCTGTATTTTACATGCTCGTTCTTTCAACCTGTTCTACAATTAGTTTCTGACTCAGCTTTTTCTGGGGTTTTATCCAGAACATTTTTAGCCTTTATTTATTTATTGTTTTCACAACATAGACCAGCCTTATAATACTAGCCTTTCTGGAACCTCCAGCTGCGCCCGTTAACTGGCCGTCGTTCAGCCCAGTTCAGGTTTTGAGCAAAGGGAGCTTACCACAATAGCATTTGGAGAATGCATCAGCGCTCTCAGTTCATTGAGATCGTTCTCAGCCTGGACCAAAACAAAAGGGATCATGATGGAGGGGAGAGGCAGAGGGAGAGAAAAGGTTAGAGCAGCAGTTTTCATGGACATAAACATAAAAACATTAACAGTAAAAAGTACAAATCTTAAAATTAATGTAAAAACAGAGCTTTTACTACACAGCTGATGCTTTTGTTTATATTATTAATAAAAAAAACCATATATTTCATATAAATGTAGCAAAAAAAAACTGAGGCTACTTTTGTTAAACATATTTAGGAATCAAAACCTAAGTCAAACTTATAAACGTCTCATCTGTTTAGAGATCAAACCTGTCTCGCCACATACAGATATTTACAACCATTTGGCACAAGCCTGCTGTTAATTTTTCAACCTTGACATCAGAATTAGGTTCATCATTTCAGAATAGTCATTCTTAATAAGGTCTGCAGGTTTTTTTTGGCTCTAAGCTCATGGAATGAGAACAGGCTGATGCAGCAAAGTCTGATGGTTCAAAGGAGAGAAATAAAATAGTCATAAAAAATTCCATTAAACTCCTAATGTGCAAGTTTCAAATTCCACATTGGTGAACCTACAGTAAAAAAAAGACACTGCTATGAAAGTTGTTGTTCTGATAGTATCATATAAACATGATTTTTATCTTTTTGAAAGAGTGCATATCGCCCACTGTCTTCCAGAGCTGCCAGGATTTTAAACTGAGATCATCTCTTGATAAGGAGGGTTGAAGGGAGAGCTGTTTTGGTCAAACTTTAAAAGGATCTCTTTGGCAATCTCACTGAATATTTACAGACTCTGTGAGACGTGTTCGTGTTTGGAGTATTTGTTGTGAATGAATACTACCACATCAAACTGTTCGCTTTTTCCATATCAGTAAATTACAAATAAAGCTTCAGCCATTTGTGTGTGTTGGCCAGTGTCTGTTAAATGTGGCAGCCATCTTGAATCGGGTGGGAATTTGATTTGGGCAGCTATGYACAGAGAGTTCCATAATTGCCACCTTGGAAGATCTGAAAATATAAATTAATACCACTATACAAAACATAACTCTGAAAAGTCAAA